CTGCTGACTTGTCTTCGACAGTTCGAGGGCAAGAATGCGGTCCCACTGAACTCTTTCAGAGGCTCCTGGGGCATATGGCATCCGCAGCCGTGGCAACGCCACTCGGATTGCTTCATATGAGACCGCTTCAGCTGTGGCTTCGCGATCGAGTCCCGAGGTGGGCATGGCATGGCGGCTCGCTTCGAGTTCCAGTGACTCCAGCGTGCCGCCGTACCTTCTCCCCGTGGTCGAACCTCAGCTGCCCACTCCAGCGAGCTTCCAGGCATCTCGTTGTCTCCACGGATGCATCTACCACGGGTTGGGGTGCCATGTGCAATGGGCATGCAGCCGCGGGTTCCTGGATAGGACCCCAGCGCCTCATGCACATCAATTGCCTCGAGCTGCTGACAGTACGCCTAGCCCTGCACCGCTTTCGAGCACTGCTCAGGGGTCAACACGTACTTGTCCGTTCAGACAACACCGCTGCAGTAGCGTACTTCAACCACCAGGGTGGTCTACGCTTACGCCGGTTGTCGCAGCTCGCCCGCCACCTCCTGCTATGGAGTCAGAAGCACCTGAGGCCCTTCGTGCAGTTACATTCCAGGAGACCGGAACCTGGCGGCCGACGAGCTGTCACCGGTCCGCCCTATCTCCGGCGAATGGTGACTCCATCCCCAGACGGTCCAGCTGATTTGGGACCAGTTCGGGGAGGCACAGATAGACCTGTTCGCCTCCCGGGACTCATCCCACTGTGCTCAGTTTTATTCCCTGTCCGAGGGCGCACTGGCGCAGAGCTGGCCGCGGGGCCACGCAAGTATGCGTTCCCCAGTGAGCCTTCTTGCACGGGTGTTGTGCAAGATCAAGGAGGACGAGGAGCAGGTCTTGCTGGTAGCCCCCTATTGGCCCACCAAGACGTGGTTCTCCGAACTCATGCTCCTCGCGACAGCACCTCCTTGGCCTATTCCTCTGAGACAAGACCTACTCACTCAGAGAAGGGGCACTCTGTGGCACCCTCGTCCCGATCTCTGGAGGCTGCACGTGTGGCTCATGGATGGGACGAGGCAGGTTTGAGATCGCTGCCACCTGCGGTGGCGGCAACCATCTCTTCCGCTAGAGCGTCGTCCACGAGACACCTTTATGCGTTGAAGTGGAACCTCTTCGTCAACTGGTGCTCTTCTCGCGGAGAAGACCCCCGGAAATGTTCGATCGGTGTCGTGCTTTCCTTCCTGCAGGAAGGGTTGGAGTGTAGGCTGTCGCCCTCCACCCTTAAGGTTTACGTCGCGGCCATTGCCGCGTCTCATGACGCAGTGGAAGGTAAGTCCATCAGAAAGCACGACCTGGTCATCAGGTTCCTGAGGGGAGCGAGGAGGCTACATCCGCCTTGTCCTCCCCTCGTACCCTCTTGGGACCTCTCAGTAGTTCTAAGTGCTCTGCAGAGGCATCCCTTTGAGCCTTTGCAATCGGTAGAGTTAAGTTCTGTCCTATAGGACGGCACTCCTGGTTGCACTGGCCTCCATCAAGAGGGTGGGGGACCTGCACGCATTCTCCGTTGACGAAGCGTGCCTGGAGTTCGGGCCGGCTTACTCTCACGTGATCTTGAGACGCCGGCCGGGATATATGCGTGCCACTCCCTTCCGGGACCAGGTGGTGAACCTGCAAGCACTGCCCCTGGAGGAGGCAGACCCAGCCTTGGCACTGCTCTGTCCGGTACGTGCTCTTCGCACCTACGTCGACAGAACGCGGTGTTTCAGGACCTCAGACCAGCTCTTTGTCTGTCATGGGGGGAGCCAGAAGGGAAGGGCAACGGCTGTCTCACTGGATAGTGGATGCCATTGCTTTGTCTTACCAGCAGCAAGGCCGGCCGTGCCCCCTTGGTGTGACGGCACATTCCACTCGGAGTGTGGCCTCCTCTTGGGCTCTAGCGCATGGCGCCTCGCTAACAGACATCTGCAGAGCTGCAGACTGGGCGACACTGCGAGTTGAGCCGGTGTCCTCTCACGTACTCGCTTCCGCCAGTACTGGACCCGCCTAGGTGTCTTCGCTTGCTCGCCATTCCACTCCTCGGATTGGATAAGTGTGATATTTCTCAGTAGTCTTCCGTTGAAGCCTTGAGTCCTCCAGCACCGACGATGCGGGCACCACTGCTGTTGCTCTGGGTGCCGGCTAGGTGCCTCCATGTGCACGGTTCCCTATGGTAACTGTCTCATGTGTATTATCCACTGTAAGCCTCTCTGAGCACGTGTCTTCCCTTGGCAAGCCATCTGCCACCCTGGAGTTAAATTCTTTACCACCTGCGGTTGGTACTCCAGTGATCTCCATATGCGTTCCTAGGCGGTCATATGTGTATTCGTAAGTCCTCCCTTCGGTAGGCATCTGGTAGCATGTCCCTCCCGGGATACGTTTCCCAGTGTACCTTGGTAATCCTGTGTCAAAGTAGGATCCCTAAAAAAAAAAAAGAGTTCAGGGGTCCAGACTTTCGCAGGGCACTGGAAGACAGCTGTAAGATGGCGTGATGGCATTGACCCCCAATCTCCGTCACTTCTGACGTAACTCGAAGTGACTACGAAAGGGAACGTCTCGGTTACGGATGTAACCCTCGTTCCCTGAGTAGGGAACGGAGACGTTACGTCTCCCTGCCACTTCTGCTGTACCGTTGGGTAGACGCCTGAGTTCAGTCTTGGCTCCTCAGCGAAGACATACTGCGGTTGCGTTCACTTCCTCCTTTTATACTCACGGAGTAGGGCGGAGTATGCTATGCAAATTCCACAGCCCCAAGGCATTGCATACCATTGGCTCGTGATTAAATACTCGAATAGGAGTATTCCGTCACTTCTGACGTAACATCTCCGTTCCCTACTCAGGGAACGAGGGTTACATCCGTAACCGAGACGTTTCTCGTCTTTCTTTCTTTTTTCCGATTGCTCACACGCATCGGTAAAACCTGAAGTCACAAACTCTTCACAAATAAAATCTTAAAAAAAAAAAAAAAACGGCCAATGACTGTCAGCTACGGCTGCCAAACAAAAACCGTAAAAAATATAATATCCTAATTTAAATTTAGTGCAAAAATACGTTTAAGAATTTTTTCTTAAATGTTTTACAAAAAAAAAACAGTTATTTCACACAGCTATTATCTGAATTATTACAATCAAACACCCTAACTGTGTAAAAAAAAATCATCCAAAAAAAAAAAAAGTCAATGACTGTCAGCAATGGCTACTATACAAAAATCATAAAATGTATGTAAAATATTCTAATTTAAATAAGTGCAAATGATTTTACAGAAATCTTCATTAAGAGTTTTAACAGAAACAGTTATTTCACATATATTTCCTGATTTTTGTTACTAAAAAATGTACTATACATCACTGCATCAACAACTACACAGTTACTGCCTGTTAAATAAAGCAACACACAGCATATCATCAGTGTCTCTCTGCTCATCCTGGACTAAAACACAATTACTGCCTGTTAAAGGGTTTGTTCAACCAAAAATTAAGTCATTAATTACTCACCCCGTGCTGTACCAACCCCGTAAGACCTTCGTTCATCTTCGGAACACAAATGAAGATACTGCATTTTTGATTAAATTTTAGAGCTGGATCACTGATACATAGGCTGCCTATAAGGGATCGAAACTTGACGGCCCAGAAAGTCATTGAAGAAAATGTTCAAATATTCCATGTGACTACAGTGGCTCAACTATAAGTTTGATATGAATATCAACTATAATATACGGTGGCCGAGAGGTGCAAAGCAAATCACAATTCAGAAAACAAAATAACAATTCAGAAAACACAACAACAAATCTGAAAACAAATTAACAAATCAGAAACCACAAAAACAAATCTGAAAACAAATTAACAAGTCAGAAAACACAACGACAAATCTGAAAACAAATTAACAAGTCAGAAAACACAACGACAAATCTGAAAACAAATTAACAAGTCAAAAAACACAACGACAAGTCAGACAAAATGGAAAAGGTAGGTATATGTGGCGAATGGAATACTGATCGCTGATTGGACGAGACATCTGTCAATCAAGACATATAGAAAGTACAGCAGACTGCGGCAGAAGAAAGATTTATTCGCATGTGTAAATATTAGAGCTGTCTATTTAGCCGGCTAAGTGATATTATGGAGAACAAAACTTTTCAAATTAAAATCTTCTTACCACTATCTGGTTTGGTCAGGCAAAATTTTAAAATAACTCGAGCTGGTAAAGTGGGAGAGTGGCGTGTTGGAAGAACAGCTGATTTAGCTTTTGACGCGAATGACCTGAGTTCGAGTCTCCCTCGAGTGACAAATTGTAATTCACAATATTAACTTCTTGTTTATTGATCTGTGTAAAACCACATGTAGAAAAGCAAAAGCTCATGCAGGGGCATTGCCCATATATTTGGAATTTTTAGTGCATTATAACTGCATTCCAATAGTGTTTATGTTTGTTTTTTGCAAAGTGAGGGACCTACTCGATAATGTCAGCTCGCAGCCTCGCACATAATTAAAAAAAAATATCGTAGATGATACAGCTAATATTTACACATGCACACGCGAATCGATCTTTCTTCTGCCTGTATTATCTGTATGTCTTGATTGACAGATGTCTCGTCCAATCAGCGATCAGTATTCCATTCGCCACATATACCTACCTTTTCCGCTTTGTCTGACTTGTCGTTGTGTTTTCTGACTTGTTAGTTTTCATATTTGTCGTTGTGTTTTCTGACTTGTTAATTTGTTTTCAGATTTGTTTTTGTGTTTTCTGATTTGTTAATTTGTTTTCAGATTCGTTGTGTTTTCTGAATTGTTATTTTGTTTTCTGAATTGTCGTTGTGTTTTCTGACTTGTTTTTTTGTTTTTATAATTGTGATTTGTTTTGCACCTCTAGGCCACCGTAATAATATGAATACCGTTCATTTTCTCACACAAACCGCTCGTTTCGTATCTTAGGCCATCTATACTTACATTTACGAGTCATTAAATCGTGTTTAATTTGGACTTCTCTGTGCATGCTCTTTCAGGAGGACCCCGTAAATCTCCATTATTTAGACTGATAGACAAGAACGGTTTGACTGAAAAATATCAGAATTGAAAATACTGTGGAAACAAAGACACCTACATCTTGGATGCCCTTGAGGTAAGATAAAACATATCAAAAATTATTTTCAAAGTGAACTATGCCTTTAAATGGAACGTCACTCTTTATAAATATCTGTGTCATTTTTTTTCTGGTGAAAGGAAACAATATAAAAGCAACTCATATTGGTTTGCTCTAGTCAGTTGCTATAGTAAACTGGTTTAGCTGGTCTCTCAACTCAAACCCCACTAATGGCGCTTTTCCATTACCAGTACCAGCTCGACTCTACTCGGCTCGCTTTTCGCTCCGTTTTCCATTGCAGCACCGCCATAAATAGTACCCGGTCGTCATAGCGACGCCTTTCGTTCCTCGTTGCCCCATCAAGCTCTCGCTGGATCCTCTCTTCGGCAACCAAACAAAGGAAAGTCTGCACCTCCTTGTTTGATCACGGCGTATTCTTCCGAGTTGCCATAATAATAGTAGTAAGTTTAGAAACTATCTCTGGCTAAACTATTTAAAAATGGCGGGGATATTCTGGATACTCCATCTGGTGCGTGCAATGATGACGCAGTGAATGGTGACGATTCTCTCTGATCAGCAGTCGGCATTTTTTTCGCGTCACATTTTAGTATCGCCTTAGCTCGCTCAGAACCTCGCCGGAGGTGGTACAAAAAAAAGTACCCGAAAGCAGCTACAGGTACAACTTTCACACAGTGGAAACCGAACAAAGGCGAGCCGAGCCGAGTCGAGCTGGTACTGTGTCGTGGAAAAGCGCCATAAAACCACTAAAACTGTTTGGCCAGACTGTGAGACCAGCTCAGGTTGCTCTTCTTAAAATTGTTGTTTTCTCATTTTTTCAGCAACTCAAGGTGCAGCAGTAAACTTAGGCCATGGAGGACAACAACAGAGATTCCAACACTCACAGCTATCGTTATTACTATGACTCTGATTATGGAAATGAAATACTTACTTATCCACACTCTGAGTATTTTTGGGAAATCAGACTGTCCATCTTCTTCATCGCTGCTCTGTGTGTGGGTGTTCCATGTCTGATTTGGGCTTTTTATTTTGTGCATCTTCAGAAAAGGACCAGAAGCCGGATCTCAGCCTTCATCATCCTCCTCCTCCTCTGTGACCTGTTGCAACTGCTCCTGTATATATATATAGTGTCAAAACTTCTTTCTTTCAGTTTTTTCCATGGCGTTGAAATTATAATGCTTGGATATTTTTGTCTGAAAGTCTGTGGCGTTCACCTGCAACAGTTGGTGGCTCTGGAGGGGGTTCTGACACTGAAATATCCAATGATCTCTGCTCATATTTTCTCAACCCCGTGTTACATAATATTCTCCATCATTATACTTGTTTTTCCTGTAATGTGTGCATTATTGGTTTTCGGTTACCCTGGTAGTCATGGTTTTTATCTCGGTGTTGGCTCAATTCTGGCACCTGTGTGTTTATTGGTTGTCACAGGAATAATCACATGCAAAGCCCCACCCACTCCAGCCAGAACACCTGACAGTGACAACAAACCAGGCGCATCGTTGTTTCTTGTTACCATGGTTACCTTAGTTGTGCTCTATTTACCATGTGTGTTACTTCACTGTGTGCAAATCCTCTTCTTTCACGTGACAGACTCTTGGCTCGTGATGTGTCACTGCTTGTTGAGTTTGACAGTGATTTCAGAGCCTCTCCAGTGTGTGCTGGTCTGTAGAGAGAATCTCAGGGCTCAGACTAATCAAACACACATAGAGCTCAATACTGAACAGACATCAGTCTGAACTGGATATTCAGATGAGGCTTATTTCAATAACAAAAATTGTTAAACTTTATTTTGATGGTCCCTTTCTGTTGACGAAAAGTAATGTTGAATCTACAACTCTTATTGCAGTTATTAGTGTTAGTAGAGTATCAGTAGACTGGTAGTGTTAAGGTTAGAATAAGTTGACATGTAGTTACAAAGTTAAAGTCAGTCGGACGTCCAAAAGGAACCATCAAAATTGTCAAGAAATATAATCACAAATGCTTAATTAATGTACTGAAAGTTAGCAAAATAGCTTAAGGCACTTTTACACATACACACATTTTTCTCTTGTGTTAAAGTTAGCAAAATGGCTTAAAATGGCTAATGACACATTTACACATACACACACCCACACACACACACAAAGAAACAGTCATCTGAACAATGTGATTCTTGTAAGCTTTCATTAATTCCTAATTTGACAATAATTATGTTTTCACTTGAACTAATGTACTGTATAGTCTGTGAGTATTCTAATAATAATGGATAAAAAAAAATAGTGATGGATAATATCTATAATACTTATGATGACCCATTTTTTCTAGGTCACAAATTTCTTCTGAATTATGTTGTGAGGCTGTTCGGACAGAGCTCCGCATGTTCAGCCCATACAGACTAGTCACGTATTGGACTTAGCCTACCTGTCACTTAGCACTTCTTAAATCTTTACACAGTAAGCACAACAGTAGTCTATGGCTTTGTGCTCAGAAAGTTTATTATTTTTCATTATTTCATTATTTAAAAATAAATGAAAAATAAAGTTTATTATTTTTCATTATTTCATTATTCACAAAGTCATTATTTTTTTGCGGTTCTTTATGAACGGGGATCATTTTGACAACGTGTGTCGCCTGTACACGAAAAAAGGAAAGGAAAAACTTTTCCGTTTACATAGTTGTTATGTAAATCAATGTGCCCTTACCTACTGTACAATCTCTTATTGGCCCGATTAAACAAGTTCACCATAAAACAAACAAAACAATTTATTAAAATATAATTTGTTATCGGATTGGCGTTTCGTCCACACAGATCCGGCGTTTTAGGAGAGTGAAACAGCTATTATTTGAAACCCAAAGTGGATCAATCTGAAAACGACATGCGGTTTCGTGTGTACGGCCAATCCGAATATTTTGTGAAACGATGATCCCCACGTGTGTCGACTAAGCATTTTGACCATGCTTCAATATCTGATGCTTTAGGCGCCCTTTAGCGTCAGTTAGATGACGCCCTAGGATCACGTGTAATCCCTACCCCCACCCCAGACCTAAACCTAACCTCGTCATCTAACTGACGCTTTCCTTTTTGCAGTTAGATGACGCCGTAGGATCGCGAAACGTCAAATATTTAAGCATGGTCAAAGGTGACGCCTTGGGGTGAGAATGCGTTGGACAGTCACGTAACAGCAACTACAACTGCTGAACTGCTTGTATAATAATGTAATATAATGCGGCAGAAACTTCTGAGCCTCTTGTATTCCTTTATTTATTATTTACTTGAATGTGTTTTTATTTTTTTAGGCCTATATTTTCTTTTGTATGCTGCTTGTCTGTTGTCTGATAAAGACATTTCGTATTTTATAGGGATGGGGATTTAAAGCAAAAATAATATTCGATGATCCATGGGAATTTGACTATTCAAAAAACGCACCCCTGTTCCACTCCAACATTACATTTCTCTGTAGGTTAAGTATTATATCCATTAAATAAATGTATTTAGTTGAAAATTTATGTTTAAATATGATATATGTTTTTATTGAATCTATGTTGATTATGAAAAGTGAACCGTGTGCATGCGCAATAGGCTATATCGAGAGATCTATTTTTGACCACATTAAGTTTTGTTTTGTATAAAGCCCTTTGAAGTGAATTTCGTTTTTTTTTTTTAAGTGTATCTTTATTTTAATAAATGTTTCATAAACCAGTTACCTGGATTTAATAAAAGAAGCAAATATAGGCTATAGCAGAATATAATCAGGATGGACTATCCGTCACGATGTAACTTGCATTGCTCGTGAACTGGAGCTCGTCTCATAAATGAACCAAAACTCTGAAATATTTAGAAATCTTGAAATGTCTACGTTTAAACAACATCGACAAACAACAATTAAAAACGAACAGAAACAGCTACTCTCTCTTATAGCCTAATCCGTATGAAAGTGCATTAGCCTACTCTGGCGCGTTCACGTTCTGCAAAGTGGCGAGTCAGCATCATCAACTTCCTCTTTTCAGTCAAGAATGACACAGAAAACATTACTTCATTAATAAACAATTAAAATGTCTATATTTGACACACTTTTGCCGGTTCTTTGTGGCAAGCTTTCTGAGTCCGCTAACTAATCGAATATCATGACTCCCTATTTTGTACCAGGCAATTTATGGATGTTCAATAATGTTCTTGGTAAAAAATAAAATAAGTAACTGTGCATAATATTATTTCATAGCCTTTTATTTTACTGCCTATAGCGGGCAAGGTTTTATGCGCATGCTGATGTCTTCTTCTCGCATTTTTAGTGGATCTCCATGACAGAATTACAGCGCCAAATACTGGTCTGGGATGTCTACTACATCGTTTTCAGTCAGTTTCAGTGGTTTCGTGTGGACGCAGATATTTTTCGAGACGCCACCGTGTTTACAGTCTTTTTTTTTTAGAACGAGGAAAAAAACATCGGATAGGGGAAGCTCTGGCTTCGTGTGGACGTGGCCTTAATTCTTGCTGAGAGGAAGAAATGAACCCTTATAATCCTATATATTCTATATATAATACATGTCTTAACATGTATGTATTCACACCTGCCTTGTTTGGTTCGATTGAATCGAACTCTAGTTCGTTTCCCCCTTGGTCCGGACCTTTTGGGCAGGTGTGAATACAGCAATCGAACTCGGGTGCGGACCAACGGTTCCAAACGAACTCTGGTACAGTTCGTTTGCGGTGTGAACATGAACCGACCCAATTGCAAGAAAGCACTGTGTCGAAAGAGAATACACTTTAAAATGCTGGGTTGTTTTAACCCAATTTTGTGTCAGATATGGACAAACCCTAGCCTGGTTCAACCAGACTCTAGTTCATTTCATTTCCACATAGAGTCTGGAACTGCACCATTGAGAAACGTTTCCTTCCTTGTAGGCGGGTTCACTATTAAAGTTCAAATCTATTGGATCTGCCCAAAGTCACTCACGATCTGCCATAGCCAATCGCTAACGGGGTGTCGTGAGTGACGTATGTCACGCGCCGAAATGGCTGGAAACAACAAGTCCGAATGATCAGAGGATTATGTTTACAATAGGATTTCAGTCAACGAGCGCCGCAGGTTTTGTTAATCTAGGAACAATTATTAATTCGAAATGTATATTTTACACGAAGGACAGTGATATATTCATTCAACGGTGTTAGCTGTGTCTCATTACAAATACGCAGCTGTGGTCGTTTTCTGATCTGCCGCAAATGCTGTAGCAGCTACAGTGAATGATCAGTCTGTCTCTATCTGCAGATGTGTAATAAACAACAATTTTTCATATTACGTCTTATTGTTTCTTAATTATCAATTGTGGTCTTCAAAGTATGTGTTTGTACATTATTATGTGGCATTTATTTTTTTTAGTAAAACAAATCAACCATTGCCATCTAAAACTGAAAATCAAATATCTTCAAAGTATGGTTTTTCACATTTTTATTTATGACAATTATTTTTTTTTTTTAAATCACAACCAATTTGTATGATTTACAACATGTAAAACTGACACACCAACCTCCTGCACGAGTGCACAAAGGGGCTCAAAATGTTCTATTCATCACAAGAATCAGTAAATATACAGTTGGGAATATGAGCGACTGACATGACTCCTGAGCGGATCTTCAACAACAGTTTAGCAGCCAGGACTCGGGGCTTCCGAACACCAGGCTAAACCGTCCGTCGGTCATCGTGCACGAGCTGCCCAGCACAAACTTCCAAACTTTCTGCCTCCTTCACTTGGTCCTCCGTTGTGCAACAAGAGGTGAGACGATAACAATCCGGCTTTAAATTCTATATATTCGGCAGTTTCTTTTCCAACAACGGACCGAATAGCTTTTCTCACGTCTTTCTCCGCTGCCATTACTGAACTCAAACTGACGCGCTTACATCAACGTCATCTTTCTCAGCCACTCCCTCTATTCGCTGATTGGTCCTACAAAAAATTGATTTCTGGAAACCTAAGGATATGGTGTGATCCCAGACGTATTACAGAAGTAAAATGAAATTGAGCGGAAGTGCGTAGGAGGGTGCAGCCAGGCTAGACAAACCCAGCCATTGGGTTACATTTTTAAATGTATTTTTAATTCAAAATTTGGGTTTGTCCATATTTGACCCAAAATTGAGTTAAAACAACCCAGCATTTTTAGAGTGCAGAGTGAAGTGATGATGTCACTTTGTGGATAACTCGGAAGCTAGCGGCGCATGAGTTCCCTCGATCGAAAAGCTATGCATTTTCCCCATAGACTTTTGGAAAATTGCAAAAAATAAGATCTGTTTTTAACAAAGAGTTGTGACCCTTACAGGTTTTGTCTATCAAGATAATCAAGTTAATCCAAAATGTTTAAATTTTGAAGCCTATATAAAGTTTTTTTTAAAAACACAAGCAGACACAATAAAGTTTAAAAACACAAGCAGGTTATAACTGTGTGTTATTTGTCAAAGATCAAAACGTGAAAATATTTAGAGGCTTTGTTCCCCACAGACCTTATTTCAGGCGATTTAGCAAAAACCCATTCAAAAATCCCATAGACTTTAGAGCGAGGGAACCGGTAGTGCTAAAATGCTAACTCACTTCCGCGTTTTGGCCGACAGAGTAATGTCGTAACTTTGGCACTGTATATTCCGACGGAATCTTTAATCTTTTATAAATGTAAGGATAGTTACAATACAAGTACGATCCTGCGTTAATTTACCATAACTGGACAAACTTAATCGCAAGCGTTAAAGGAGAAATCCGGCGAACAATGAACCTTTGGTCTAATAAAACATCGGTGCCTATAGTCAATCGTTCTCTGGGA